CTATTACTAAAACATATGATGTAGAATTGCCTTTGTTTTACAAACTATAAAGGAAAGAAATTAATTAAATAATTAACCATCCAAAGCATTCATTCTTTGTACAAATCACAAGGAATTCTGCCTTATTATCTTAGAATGGCTACACATTTCACACCATCCCTAATCTGGTGACTGGCCTTTATTAAGAGGATCCACAGTCTCACAAAGTTCAGCTTTTTCTCAGGAAACTTTGCCATGAAAAATTGCATTTTTCACCCAAGTAAAAAAATCAAAACATACTACTTTAGGTGATATGTCCTAATAAATCTTAAAGTATAGATAAGATAGAGCCGCTACTGTGCTAGGTAAAGCCAGGAAACACATCTGATGGATTGCCCCAGCTATAAGGAGGCACATTTAGTAAAACATACTACATGTGTAATTAAGGAAACACATACTTTATCTTTGCTACAACAATAAAAAATGGCACATTGGTAGGTTTTATTGACCTGTAAGGCAGCAATGAACTGAAATGCCATGTGTAGTTTCAGTAACACATAGTTTCATGACATTCAGGTGATATAGGCCCCATGTGCCCTTAAAAATATTGGGCTTACATAAATTAGCAGGCTAGGAAAATGTGTGGTACTACACTGCTCGTGGTTACATAGGAGTCGCAGTGCATGTTTGGAAACATTTACTAAGCCCCGATTCTGGCAGTGTGCTATTTTTGTCCATACTCATCGAGATGATTTATGTATACTTAAAAGATGGTAAAAGATAGACACCATTATGCATGTGCAATCAAAATACTGCCTCTATAGCACATACAAACCTGAACCAGATTTTGGATCCCTGCCGTGTACCACCTTCAGTTACATATATACTGCTAATAAGAAAGGTATCATGTACACTTTAATATCCTATGAATGTTTAAAGGGCAACTCCAGAAAACAAATAATAGCAATAAGTGAACTGCTAATGCTGTCCATGAAAGTTTTGGACAAGTGTACAAATGTCTACCATTTAATACAGCAAACCTGGGGCACTAGGCTATACAATTTCCAACTCCAGCTGGGGAATTTGAGCTTTGGTCAGCTCCTCCTACATCTCCTGACTGGTCCTTGAGGACCCTCTTCTTATTAAGGGACTATTCAAGGAAGTCAGAGTTTGCACAAATTATCACCATAGGTTTCAGGGTACTGGGAAGCATTTCCTGCACCCCAACTCCAAGGCTATGGGGGAGGCTTCCCTTATCAGACTGCATTTAGCCACCTGAACAAAGGGAACTTCGAAACAGGAGAGGCTGAAACTGTGCGGCAGGCCAGAAGAAACCAGCAAGGTGAGGGCAAAAACTCCAACCTATTCTTAGTATAACCGGCTTGAGCAGTGAGGACAGAAAAAAGAATGGTGGCCTTGGGAGGCGGGCTTTAATTTATAGTATAACTGGTCCTGTGATTGGGCTGGGGGCGGAGCCATACCCGTTGTATGCTGCCATGTACGGTATCAGGAAAGTTAGCTGCAGGCATCTCTATATGCCTGCATTTAAAGGAGAACTATGAGATGAGTGATTTCCACTCATCTCATAGTTCTAGCCGACCTGTGACAATGAGACTGTCACAGGTCGGCTCAGTAGATCGGGAGGTGAGCGAACACATACCAGGTTCGCTCACCTCTCGATCCTGTCACGGCTCTCTGCCGTGACAGGGGGAGGGGCTGGATTCCCCTCTCCCCGCTCCGATCTGCCAGCGCTGACTGGCGGAACGGACGGGGGAGGGGGCGGGTACAGCTGGCTCTGCCTCTAGATAGGCAGAGCCAGCTGTCACTCACGCAGCTGGGCGGATCCTGTCATCTACGTTGGGATCCGCTCCGGCTGCGGCATCTCAGAGTATACCGCGAGCTGTAGCTCGCGGTATACTGAGCTTAGGGTAACGGGAGGACGCTAGTTTGTGTCCTCCCGTTACCCTAAGGAGAACTATGGGGAAAAACACTGACCCCATAGTTCTCCTTTAATCTCTACTCCATGTTTAGGTAGAATATAATTATGGTGGGTTTACTTTACCTTTCTCTTTGCAACAGACAGTAAGGAATTTACAGGGGTGTGTGAGCAATTGGTGTTCCTTGATCATGAGATTGCTGGCAACAAGAGGCATATGAAGCAGTGGGCTGACCAGGTGCACTACAGGTATACCTAGCTGAAAAAAGAACATGGGCCGTGTCCCTGTCTGCAATTCACGGATTAGTTTTCAATTCTGACTGTGGGTGTACCTGTAATACTGGTAAATAAACCTGGCACCCTGCCCAAACTATTATATTCCTTGCAAAACTATAAAGCCAAGGCTTGATTGAACACTTAATGTTATTCCACTGTGTAGCTTTTAACATGACCAACTCACAAATAAAACCAGCTAAAGGCAGCATTAATATCTGCAGCTCAGAGAGAAATCCCAAGGACATTCAGACACCAACACTGCCAATGCATTTCGCACAGATGTGTGCTGTGTGGTCACAGATTAACAGCTCCACAGAGTGCTCTGTCTGATAATGCCTAACACTTTGGAACCAAAAATTATTGCAACGCACATGAAAACAGCAGTACACAAACTAAGGTCCTGTATAATAGGTACACTTCCATCTTTATATAAGGACTCCGGTAAGTACTGTGTGAAACTAAAATGGCCACATTTCATAACACCATAAAATATAATCATGACTGTTTTTGTGAAAAAGTAAAATACCTCTAATTCTGTCAGATACTGTTAAAATGTAGCCACTGCCTCTAGAATACAGTAAAGTGAACCTGGATAAATTTGAAGAAGAGGTTTAAAGTAGGATCATTAGAGATGCCTACATGTACATTCACATCTATAAAGATGGGTAGTGATCTTCTTTAGATGTAGATCACTACCCATTAATTCATAATTGAGGATATAGTAAACATGCTATGTCCTCAATTATTTACAGACACTCAGCGATCACTGATCACAGACTGCCTGTACCCACTCTCCTTCCTGAGGAGGCTGAGCGATCGGTGCAGGGAGGAGAGCTCAATCTGACAGCTAACTCCTTCCCCACACCGCTGGCCAGCCTCCTGTGACAGCGCTGGCTGTCTTGCCCCCCCCCCCCCCCCCC